AACTACACAATATACCCTCCACAGACCCTCACCCACCCCTGAGAAATTCCAATCCCTCTCTGTGGGGGAGGTATGGATATTTTCTAGAACTACATACCTTTAAAAGAGCGGTAAGTGCAGATAAAAAAGATTCCTTTTCTGTTACATGTTCTATAACCTCCGATGCCACCACACAATCAAATGCTTCCTGTTCTCTATCCGCAAGTTCTTCTACTGTGATACACTCATAACTGAGTCTCTGAGACAGCAAAGGATCATGGAATACATGCCGCATGGCTACATGGATATTTCTTGCTGAAGCATCAACACCTGTCACATTAGCACCTAGTCGTGCTAGAGCCTAGTACAGATTTAAAAAAATACTGTGTTGTAAGAATTTCTAAATCTATTGTCAATGAGCACAAAATCACATGGACTTTCGACCAATAAACCAATAATCATGAATACTCAGCAAAGATGTGCATGGTTGTATTGGAAAATAAATAATTGATGGTTCTGACTCAGACAATTGAGAACCGATAACCATTGCAGCAATTTTCCCAGTGGAATTTAGAATTTAGACAACTATATAATATTATCTGTTTTATGAGTAATAAGATTATTGACCTCTTCGGCTTGGGTGTAATGTTGTCCCATTTCATATTACGTGTCATTCCCTTGAGAATTAGATTCTTTGTTAGAGTTGTATCCATATTCATGTGCCTTCTTATGTGCAACCGAGTGCAACCATTATTTGAAATGGGACAACATTMCGCCCGAGCGGAGGAGGTCTATTCAAGTTCTGATTATAAGTCTTGCAATTTTCTTATATTTTCACAGGACAATAAACAATTGAAACAAATATTTATAATTGATTTTCCACAATCAAAGTTTTAAATACTGAGATATTCTTGTTAATTTGTTAAACTTGTGGCAAACAACAACAGTAACTAATCAAGTGGAGTCAGCATTATAAATTATGAATGATTGATAAACAATACCATCATACCTCTGATAGCAAGCCGCCACCACATCCAACATCAAGTATCTTGAGACCCCTGAGGGGGGCACCAGGGTTAGAAGTGTAGCCACCAATATTACCTAATATAGCTGTTTTTATATAGGGTACGCGCACCCTGTTCATTGAATGAAGTGCATTAAATTCACCATAGACATCCCACCAGTCACTTCCACTCTTACTTAGTTTAATTACTTCATCTTCATCTACTGTGTTCTGACCTGAAAACTGTGAATTGAAATAGAATCTGAGATGGGACGTGTCGAGCAGTGTTTTGAATTGGGGGATGGGAGGGGAGGGACAAAATCCAGCTCTGGGGGAGGGGGAGGGGGGTAATAAGAAGTATTTTGGTAATTTCAAGATATAGCAATCAAAATGTTTCGAAAATTCGATGCAAAAGGTTCATCCAAACTTGTGATGCATGACTTTGCATTTTTCAGACAACATTTCAAGTATCAATATCAGGGCTGTCAACCCCCGAGATATTCAAATCTGGAGAATTGATAGGGAAGGGACATGACGTCACAGCGTGTCAAAAAGCGCGCGAAAAGGCGTCTTTCGCTTTGTAACGTTTGATGTGATTGGTTTATTTCTGACCAATCAGATTATTGCTTATATTACAATGGCCTGCTTGCAAGAACAGTTTATGAGGAACGTTTTGATTTTGTTAGCGATGTAAAATAACACAAACAACATGAAATAATTGGAATTTTATGGTTGTGAAAGTCTAGTCTCACAAGACAAGAAATGGCCAGCTTCGGGGATTATCCGGGAGATTTGATACTCTAATCTGGAGACCGGGAGACACGGTCCAAAATCTGGAGACTCCCGGTTTATCCGGGAGAGTTGACAGCCCTGCAATATAAAGGAAAAAATAGCTTTTTGTGCCTTATACCTGTGTACTGTGGAATCGCTGTTGGCGCGTCTGTCTTTTTATCAATCTTCTACTTGAAAAGCAACTCATAAAAACCCTCGTAGGGCTCCTAACTGAATATTTTTTGACAAGACAACYGGAACAAATGCGAAAAACATCCATAATGAAAGAAAATACCTGAAAACTCAGTGAAAGCAAAGTCGAAATCTTCCAATCAAATTGTACACAGCGGTACACTCTATGAACAACATATCCCAGTAATCCCTTGCGGCGAAAGTTCTTATAAAAATCATTGATACAAATGCTAGTGGTAACTATATTTTTTCGGTTTCTTAATACATAAGACAGGACTTAATAGTAAATATGAGAACTAAGATAGATAAAATGACAGAAAATCTTGAAAAATATTAAAGATTTCATAGTGCTTTACCCAGAATGCAAATAAGGCGTGGGTAGGCCTTTGGGCTTTGATGAATTATGACACCCCCCTGTAAGCCATGTGTAAAAACAACCAAAAATGAAGGGAAAAGTCTGCAAAAACAGCTTCATTTTGACCCGATTTAATCCGATTTAAAGACAAAGTAGCACACAGTCAAAGGTACAAGGGTTTCCTTAGTGAAATATCACTCCTAAGGTAGGCAGTCTACGATGTATAATCAAGGTTATGGACCAATTTTTGGTATGGATTGGTATTGCCTTAATGGCGGACTTGACTGCGTTGTCAACTGTCAATCTTGAAGACAATTTCCAGCGATTGAAATTGTTCTTTGATGCTAGAAATCACGACGATTCATTTGAGAATCATACTATCATGTCTCTAGCTATGAGTACTCCGAGATCGAAGACGATTGAGGAGGTTTAAGAGCCGCTTTAGTTAATATCAAAACACTTGGCTCTTCACCTTCCCTCCTAACTGATGCCTCCATCAGATCGATGTTTCAAGTCATTTCTAGTCATTGCATTCCAAAAATCAACCCAATTTAAGCAAAATTCACCACAGTTGATCCCATTTGTAGTCTCCGATTGAAAGAATGAAGCATTTGTGTTTAAATTTAGATTTAAGAAAGACTCTCTTGTGCAGATTTTGTATGACTGGGATGTTAAAGATTATGGTGACTTTTCAAGAAACATCCATGTCTGCCCAACATAGGGGGGGCTGATGTTAGACTCCTACCCCTCCCCCCAGGAAATTGAATTACGAAAGTATGGGGTATATCCTTGTTGGACTTGGGATTTGGTTATGATGTAGGCTTTCTACCCTTAAAACAAGTTTAGAGTAGATTGCATCATGGTATTTTGCTTCTCAGCTTTACAAAGTGTGCTTCAGGAGAAACATTACTAGGGTAATATGCATCTTGTGACAGTCTTGTTGCATTTGAATTTTCTCTTGACATGGTTTGCAAAATGAAAGCACATTACAAGACATGATTACAAAAGAAAGATTCACCCTTGCTAGTATTAGAATTAACTTAACACCTGTTGTTTCCACATCATACTGTGACATTAGGGTCTTCAAAAATCAATAAGCATTGAGGACAGCAATGCCAAAATCATGATGTGAGTATGCTTTGAAAATAGTTTTTGTGTGTGTACTGTTGTCCTTGGCATTGCCTTTTGTTTAGGACACGAAAAAAGTACTGTATCAACTGATGTCTAGAGAGAGAGATACCAACGACTGTGCACACATGAAAAACTGTTTTAAAAACATGATCACATTATATTGTTTCAGTGTCACTGTCCTCTGTGCTTGTTGAGGATCATATTTCCACAAGAGACTCTATAACATATATATTCTATAAGTATAGATATAAGTATTCATAAGATTTTATCAGTGTTATCAAATAATCCTTGTTTAAAGAGGATTGATAATGGTAAAAAGAACAAAGTATATTTCTAGTATAAAACTTTAAATTTTATATAAGTAGTACCCATCGTTGGCTTTGAATATTAAATATGCTTATTTTGTATTAAATTTAAAGAATTACCTACTTGTATTGCTTTGTATTGTTATTGTTGTTGTTGTTGTTGCGAACTTCAATGCTTTTGAATGCTTCCTGATAGCTAGCAGCTAGTTTGACCATGTGGGCCAACGGAGACCAATCTAATGCTCAATGGTGGCCAATGCATTATGGTTATCAATATTCTAATCCAAGTCAAGGTGAGTTCTGCTAATTTTTTAGGTTTTTAGAGTAATAATAATAATGGGAATTAACAGTTGGATTCCTCGGAGTGGCTCTTCTTCCACTGGATTGCAATTGGAATTTAGAAGTTGATTTTTGTAAAGAAAAACTATAGAAGCTAGAGAACAATCCTTGAAACACAGGAGAAAACCACAAACAATTTGACTCACATACTGCACCTAGCGGGACTCCAACCCCGATCGCATTGATTAGAGGCAAGCGCTCTCACCCCTATGCCAACTGTGCATAGTTCTCGCTCTCTCTTTCTCTCTCTCCAAATCACTAATCTGTAGGTTGAGAATTGGGTTGATTTTTCTTGCCCACACCTTTGACATCACTCTGTAGTATGAAAGAATTTAACAGACATTACTTTATTTGTCTGCAACAAGTGTTGGCTTTCACTGTGCTTGAGATGTTACCACTGGAGTTAAAATTATTAATAAGCCAATTAGTAACCATTTTCATGGTTTGTCATGGTTGTCTTGGAAACACAAGGGGCTAGCCAAGAAGACATTAAAAAGTTGCATAGAAGGGTGTCTGATGTGAAAAAAATAACTTTTCTATTTTTCATTTCAGATGCAAGTGCAGACTGGGCCACCAGAGCAGCACTATGGGCTCAGCAACGACAAGCACAAGAAGAGATGGCCAAACAACACCAACAGTACTATTCCACCATGCAGAACCAACCTCAACCAGATGGAAGCAGACTGCCACCTGAGAAACCTCCTTTACCGAGCGATGGTACAGACCATGCATTCATGCAAAACAGCTCTGTTCCACCCCTACCCCCAGGGGAATCAGATCTGCCACCACCGATACCAGAAGCTGAGGGCGACAACCTCGAAACTGTTGCTATGGAGGACGAGCCCTTAGATACGCCAGTGCTTGAACAGGAAATAGCTGTCACAAGACTAGACTATAACCATGGGCAACCTGTTCCTCTACCTGAAGTTGCTCCCCCTCCTCCATTGCCGGGTATGCAGACATTCGATCATAACCATGGATTCACGCCCGCTGCTGGTGCACCAGCCCCTGCTTTTGTTCCTGCACAGCGCTTTGACTATGGACATCAGAGTGCAAARTATGACCACCAGAAAGGAAGTCATCCGTCGTCTTCACAGTGGTATGATTATAACCATGCACATGGGGCCGAACATCATCAGGAGTATGAGCCAGAGAGGCGCCATTCACGGCATAGTGGCAGGCACGAGCYTCCGCAGCCACATACCCCTCCTGCTATAGATTTTGCAACAATGTCAGGTAAGCATGTTTATTCATAAATATTTGTTATATTTTTATAAATTTTTATAAATATTTGTTATAGCTCCTATCATTTTAGCCTGCTTTCACTCACACACACTACCACTTCATTCAGTATGGTATACAGAGGAGGGAGGGGGGGAACTGGAAAACCCTCATGACAAAGGAGAGAACAACACATCAAACTGACAGCTGCATTCATATGTGGCATTTGCAGCAATAGAACCCTTGCAGCACGTCGGAATGCAGCTCAATTTGAAGGACATAACAATAGGTTTCCAATTCTCATGATATTGAAATTTTTTCGTTTYGTCCTCCAAGTTGAGCTCCTTTGATGTCACATGGAAGGAGTCTAAAGCCCTTATCTTTATTATGAGTGCAGCTCGTAGGTTTCCTTAATAGTGTACATCAAAATTATGCTATCTAGTAAACTGTGTGGGTAGTGGCCAAAGCAGTAGGTGTTGAAGTTGTGAAAGGTCTGAATATTTTACTGCTACTCCACCCTTGCCACGCAAGTGAAATTATAGTTATGTATTAAGTGTGGTCATGTGGGGTGAGTATATTAGTCCTTATACTTTTCTTGTCCTAATTAAACAGAGGTCAAGAAGAAAGCACTGCCRCTTTGGATCCGTGAAGGCCTGGAGAAGATGGAACGAGAAAAGCAAAAGAAACAAAAACAAGAATTAAAGAAATCCCTGAATTCTTCAAATTCTTCTTTGCCTAACATATCTGGATACGAGCACGGAAAGGTGGAATCCCCTGTACCATCACCAGAGCAGCCACAATCTGATGAGAAGGTAAGGACCTTGTCAGACCTGAGTTCTCTGGTTTTCTTCCCTTCACAAAACCCAACAGACTAGATCAGCTGAGAGGTTGTTTCAGGGTTCAATGTGTGAGTTAGCCGTGCCCTGACTTAGATCAACCTAGCGGTTGTTTCAGGGTTCAATCTATGAGTTAACCATGCCCTGACTTAGATCGGCCCATTGTTTTTTTCTGGGTTCGATCTAAATTAGGGTCGGTCGCGCAACAGGAAACACACTTATTTTTTTGTTTGGCCTAAGTTCCTAAAGTCCTAAGTTCCTAAAGTCCTAAAATGAAAAGCTGATTAGAAGTCTTATAATTTGTCGGTTCACTCAGATTATGTTTCTGAGTTCTTTCTTGTTCACCTCATCATTCATTTGTTTCATTCTCATAATTAAAATTTGAATTTCCCAGCCTGAGAGCAGTGACAAGGAGGAAGAGGAGGAGGAGAAAGAAATAAAGAAAGAGAAGGAAGCAACACCTGAGCAACCAAGAAAGCATCATCATCATCATCATGTTAAGCGCTCACACTCAAGGTCTTTATCACCACAAAAACATGATTCATCTGATGATGAAGTAGACAATAGAAGTGAATCAGAAAAACAGCAAGACATGGTAGGTATCTGTACTGTAACTCTGGCTGGAGATGCTCTATCATCTGTAAGATATTATACCAATAATAATTTCTATGTAGGATAAAATTAATCTTATGCAAATGCTGTCTTCACTTAATATTTTGCTCTTATTTAAGTTATGGGACTCATCTTGACTGCATTAAACCTCATAGGGATTTATTCTTATATATTAAATCGTATAACTATTATAACTTATTAGTTTTTGATAAGCTCCAATATTATCCATGCTGGTAGTCATTTCAAGGTGATAATCAATCATTGTTCTTTATTGATAAGCTCTAATATTATCTAATGTGCTTTGTCCAGTTTTGCCAGAGCACTATCAACTATGATTTATTATTTATTATTAATAAGCTATAATATTATCTGACACATCAACTTGTCCACTACAGCTTCTAAAAATGCGTAAAATGATGACTGAGGTTCTTTTAACTGTCACTAACGAAGAACTTCAGAATATTGCCAAAGAGGCATATAACGATGCACTATTAGGTACGTAAAGTTATGGACCACTTGCAAAACCTCTCTCTTGGTACACCCCCTACAAGCCTCACTTTCATGTATCCCAACGCAAGCTCCTCATGACCAGAAGAGTTTCTGCAAGTGGTCTTTTATTGTCATATTTCTTTTTTTTTTTGCTTTTTTCCTGCATTACCTTCCTGTAGTTCCAGATTGAAAACTTTCAATGTTTGTTGTTTGATTTTAGCTGCAAATCGTCAACTTCGAAGCTCTGGTGGCCTGGATCTCTTAAAGCAGGGTGGTACTTTAGGTAAGATTGTGTAGAAGACACAATGGATGGGAATCACTTGAAAATACTTGATGATACTGGTAATGATGGTGATACATGATGATGATGGGGATGCATGATGATGATAATAGTGATTGTGACAATAGTGATGGTGATGCATGGTGTTGATGATTATGATGATTCATGATGATGATGGTGATGCATGATGATGAGGATGAGAATGATGATGATGAGAATGGTGTTGCATGATGATGATAATAGTGATACATGATGAGAATGATGATGAGAATGATGCATGAGGCATAATGGTGATGCATGATGGTGATGCATGATGATGATGATAATGGTGTTGCATGATGATGATAATAGTGATGCATGATGAAAATGATGTTGATGAGAATGATGCATGAGGCATAATGGTGATACATGATGATGGTGGTAATGTTGATTATAATGATGCATGATAATGGTGATGCATGAAGATGTTGATGATGATAATGATGCATGCTAGTGATAATGCTTAATATGATGATGAGAAGGAGGTTGCTGCTGATTACGATGGTGGTTGATGGAAGTAATGACAGTAATACCTATAAACATGGTCATGGTCAGAAATCATATTAGACTTCCCATTCCTCACCAGGGGGGAGGGATGAGTCCTCACCAGGGGGGAGGGATGAGTAGCTTCTGTATAATAACTGTGATGATCATTTGTTTTCATGGTTCATTCATATCCAGGTCTCGGAGACTACGGTTCTGACTCTGAATCAGACAGCGATGAAGATCAACCAGAACAAAAGACCTCAGAACGACTCCATCCTGTCTATGAGAAAGAAGAGTATGACAATGCTAATAGACAATCTCGTAGTCGCTCTCCAAGGAAAACAAACTCCAACGACAGTGACACAAATCGGTCCAGATCTGGCTCACGGGATTCAAACCCCAAGCATCACGAGCCAGGATCGACTGTCACCTCTGAGGAGGAGAGCGATATCTCTGGATCTGTGTCAAGCAAAAAGAAGAACCGACGCTCGAAACATCGACGCAAACATCGAAGCTCAAGTACTTCCCCCAAACGACGCTCAAAACATAAACATCGACGCAGTAGGTCGAGAAGCAAAACCCCCAAAAAACGAAAGAGCAGCAAGAAGGACCGCAGTAGATCCAGAAGCTTGAGTGAATCCAGGAGCTCACGGAGGTCAAAGAAATGCTCTCCAAGTCGTAGCAGATCCCCTAGTGAACACGGAAAACATAGGAAGAGTTCTCGTAGTTCTCGTAGTAGATCTCCGAAGGATGAGAAGCATAAGAGATCTCAAAGTTATAGTAGGTCCCCTAGTGAAAGGAAGCACAGAAAATCTTCTCGAAGCCGCAGTCGATCCCCAAGCGAACGAAGACACAGGAAAAACACGCGCAGTCGCAGTAGGTCCCCAAGACACCGAAGAAAGAAAAGTCGCAGTAGATCCCCAAGGAAGAGCCGTAGGCGCCGCAGTAGAAGCACGTCTTCAGACCATTACAGGGAGGGTAAGAGAGGAAGCGATAGAAGATCACGATCCAGATCAAGGTGGATGTCTTTATTTTTATATATATTTTCGTTTACAGATTCGTTTTCGTACTTTGTGAATTGTCTTTTTTTCAGACTTGGTGGTAGGACAGGTCAAAGTGTTTTTTTCTCTCCAAGTGTTTTATTTCTTTTGTATTGTTAATGTTTTTAATTCCTGTGAGTATTCAGTTTGTGGGTTTCCCTGTGTTCACATTTCAATTCCAAGAAACTAATTGTCAATTTATCTTACTTTTACATGCCTAAACGCATTTTCATTTTTGTCTACACGATGTTTGCGATAATTTTTTTTTTTTTTTTTTGATACACCATACTATTTTGTGTGTCACGTTTTTGTCACTGTCACGCAATCTGTTCACGATCACGCAATCTGTTCACTGTCACACAATCTGTTCATTGTCACACAATCTGTTCACTTTCACGCAATCTGTTCACTGTTACCAATCTTTATCATCTTTAGGTCTTCAACTCCAAGACGCAAGAGACGTTAGTAGACAGTAATACTGAATCAATAATGCTTTGCTGTCTGGAGGCTTGCTCGCTACTGAAGCAAACATTACACCTGTATTAGTTCTGATGTTGATGAAAAAACTAAGTTGAGTTGCAGTAGTCCTCTTCACAGTTCCCTGCGTCATCTTGAAAGGTAGCCGTGCCTTTGCATCGAAGCGAGACGAACGGTAACCTTGCAATGATAGAGACCTTTTTTAACACCTTGAACAATATTTACATATCTCTATCATTGCGAGCTCACCATTCGTCTCGCGTCAATGCAAAGGCACAGCTACCTTTCAAGATGGCGCAGGGAACTGTGAAGGGGTCTATTGCAGTGTATCGTGGGGCTGATTTAGGGGACATATTTCCAAGATTGCATCTATTTTCACAATAACGACCTAGCAATCCACGACAATTCCAACTCAATGCACAAAGAGACCTTAGTGGGACCTTTACGCTAAGGGGATGGGAGAAATTGTGATTAAAGATCGCCATGTTGGATGATAAAGAAACCTTAGAGGGATCTTACGCTAAGGTGATTGGAGAGATTGTGATTAAAGATCACTAGGAAATTTTCATTGCAGTGCACTAACACGATGAACATTTTCAAAGAAATAAATAGAGGATATTACATGGGCGCGCGGAGATACGAAATTTATCTTCGAGTGTTGAAAAGATCTTGAGAGATTTTCAACACGATAAGATAAATTGCGTATCTCCAAGCGCACATGTAATATTCTGTTTATTATATAATTATCAATGAAGTATGTTTTGGCTTTTTCAGGCAATTCTTTCCGTGTATTTTTGAATAGCCATCGCAATGGTGTTATTTTCACACGTGAAAATAACATGTTATTTTCACGTGTGAAGATATCAATTTTTCGAAACAGAGAAAAATAGATATTTCATAGGTAATTATATAATAACTTGATATATCAAACAAAGGAAATTACCAGTATGTTGCCTCCGAAGATTATGACTGGAAGATTTTGTATGCTATGAACAAATAATGTTATTTGTGATGGATATAAAAACATTGATACACACAACATATCTTTTCAGTTTTCTTATAAGATTATTTCTATTGTATGTTGCTTCTAATAATACCACTATTTTATTTGGTGAAGATCATTTCTTATCGTATTTCTTTGTCCCATTAATTCATTCATGGTAAGTCTAATTGTACCGGGCTCCCTGTGGTTTTATCTTGTACTGACTAGAAATCTCTTTTCATTGCCAATAAAGAGTTCTAAGTTTACTTTGTGTCATTGTGATACTTGATTGGAGAATCCTCCATAGTGGAGGAGCATTTGGTTTGTTTCGACATAGGGTTTTTTTTGTCAAAAATTACGCAAATGAAATCGAATTTTACAAAAGTCTAAAAAATAACGATTCGTGATTAACCACAGATAAACCAAGCTCGGGCTCCCTGTGGTTCCGACTCGGCCCAGAGACTGGACGAGGAAACTTTCTTAAAATTTTCTTTCCCCTTTTATGCCAAAATATCGTATTACAGATGGATTGGCTTGATAACTCCATTCCGATAACTGGTTCCCAAAAAAATCCACCCATTAAAAARAGTGTTTTCAAAAACTACGGTACCTACTCACACGTATTCACCGCCTTTTCTTGATACGACTTGTGTCCTTAGCAACGTCCCCAATAGTAATACCATTTTTTGCTACCATGGCAACCAGGAGTTCCCGCTGTTTATCCATCGTAGCAACCAGTGTTTTCACCTGTTGTCTTGTTTTGGACAGCTCCTGTTTCACCGCGAATTTGAATGGTAGTTGGGTCTTCGCGCATATCTTCGTCCTCTACTTCATCATCAAAGTCCGTTGAAAAATCGATTTTGCTGGAATAAGAACGAAGGATTATCGATTAGCAACGTCAAAGTTTTCGATCGCAAGTGCTGACTTGATATTTTACTGGGACTCTGCTCTCAACCAATCGAAAAACAAAGTAAAAACCAACCAATCGCATTGCTCATCTGGAAACGTAAGCCATTTGACGGCCGCTGTTCCGATGTAGTCGACAGTAGTATAGGGAATGGGGGTTCCAGCGCAATCTCAACACGGGGTAAGACCCGCGTCAAAAATCCACCTACGGAAACAACCCACTCCAAGTGTGGTTGGGGG